ATGAGCTAAGGCTATCCTAGATGATGTAAAGCATGACATCACGGTTGGCCTAGTCCAATGTCTGTAGGAGCATGTGATTTAAAATTTGGTTGAGCTTGAGGAGAGATGGCGCAAGTTAAAGAATAGCAAACGATTCATCTATGTGGTTTCCAAAGTAACTATTCTGTTAAATCATCAAAATATTTAATAAATCATTACGCGAACATAAAAATCAGTGCCCGTTCTAAATACTGATATATCCGGAAAGTATTTTGAACTCACTAAAATTATTAGTGAACAATATCGAAAGCTTGGGAAATCTCAGTTCCGTAAACTTAAAACTTGAAAATCATCAAGTAAGTAATTCGGAGTATCTCAGCCTTTGTCTACAATTAATATGGCGTTAAATTAATTACCGTCATTCTACGCCACAAACTTACACACCAAAATCTATCATCTTAATCCTAACACATTAAACTCTGGGTGATTACGTTGTGGATAATCATTTTAAATATTATTACCAAACATGGAAAATTCCGGATGTCACAGCTTGTAGCTGGTCACCGGTAAAAGGAAGATGAAAGGAAAAAAGAAAAGAAAGAAAAACAGAAAAAAAAGTATTAAAAATTGTCTATTTCAGTATCGGCGGTGCCACGTAGGCCAACCGACATCCACATTAGTAATATCCAGCCAAAATTAGCCGGAAGGACTTAATTGATACTATGTTTTTAGTACTAAATTGGAACTATTAAAAGGTTTATGACTAAATTGACACAAATGTAATAGATTTAGGACTTTTCTAACACTTTTCCCGTTCGTTTATGTACTATAACTATTAAAACCGATCACTTCAGTGGCATCACCGATTTTCCTTGCCTAATAATCCTACGGTCATTATTTATATATTAAATCATCCCACTTGGTTTGCCAGAAATCAACGTAGTCTTCCGGCAAGAAAATCACCGATGCCACTGAAGTTATTTGCTTTTAAAAGTTATGACACTTAAATGAACGCTCGTAGGCTGCGTTTGGAAACACTTTGGGGGAAAGTTTTTGGAAAAATGCAAAGGACTTTAAGTTAAAGGACTTTTTCAAAATGCAAATTGTGTTTGGTAAGTTGTAACTTAAAAGCCCTTGCAAAGTAACTTTGCGTAAAATAGTGTTTGGAAAAAGTATACTTGCAAAGCAAATTTTTCATTTTTTATTAAAGGAAAGTTGAAACCCTTCGCCGGCCGGCAAAGGACTGGCGGCCGTCGGCAAACTAGATCTGGCGTCGGCGGCCGTCGTCTGAGGCCGAACGGCCTCGGGCAACCCCCGACGACCGCCGACGAGGGCCACCTGGGGTCGAGCGACCCCCGACGAGGGTCGCGAAACCCAGGCGAGGCCGCCGGCGACCCAGATCTGACGTTGCACGGTAGTCATCTGAGGTCGGACGACGAGGCAGGCCTGGTCGGTGGTCGCTGGGGGTTGCCCTCATCGTCCGGCCTCAGACGACTGCCGTGCAACGTCAGATTTGGGTCGCAGGCGGCCCTCGTCGGCGGTCGCCGGGGGTTGGCCGAGGCCGTTCGGCCTCAGACGATGGCCGCGCGGCGTCAGATCTAGGTCACCGATGGCCTCGCCTGGGTTTCGCGACCCCCGTCGGGGGTCGCTTGACCCAAAGCGGCCCTCGTCGGTGGTCGCCAGAGGCTGCCTGAGGTCGTTCGGCCTCAGACGACCGCGGCGCGGCACCAGATCTAGGTCGTCGGCGGCCCTCGAGGGTCATCTAGGTCGCGCGACCTCAGGCGGCCCTCGCTTGGGTCGCGTGGCCCCTCGCGGCAGTCGTGCGAGCCCAATCGACGATCGCTAGGTTGCACGACCATGCCGGCCTCCCTTCAGCCGGTCGCCATCGCCTCACAGCCATGCTGCTGAGGTCTCAGCGAAGAAGAAGATGAACAGTACAGACGAGGCCAAAACCGGAAAATCAAAAAAAAGATAAGGGTAGTTTCGGAAGAAATTTTTTTTCACTTATTCGGCACTGTTGCTTGCCGAGAATGCCCAAATGCCAAGGCACCTCCAAGGTTGCCTTGGGCTTTTGGCCTTTTGAAGGCCAACTTTGGCTCAATGGGGTTTCTAAAAAATCTTGCCATACACCAAAATTTAGCCCAAGGCCTTGGCAAAGGTAATTCCAAACGCAGCCGTAGTATTATGACACCAAAGTGACTACCGCACGAAAGATACGAAAATATTTATGTCATGCACATTGTGTGGAAAGCACGGGTTAATAACCGGTTATATAGAAATTCAACGCGGGGGATCCACACAAAATAAATAAAGAACACACGAGCGCGCGTGGGCATTGGATAAAGTTGTCGTTGACTATGGAATGTATATGGCGATATAAAACGTCTTCCTTTTATAGTCGGCCTTCCGTAGCTGAATGAAGAAAGTACAGCTGCAATATCTTATGCCCTCGAAACCCTTGCACACATAGTGATAGCGAGACTAGCAGTTTTAAAATAATGAAATGGCGTAAGGTGGAGATCACCCATATACAAACTCCATCTCCTCCACGCTATTCACAGACTTGATTATCGTTGCAGACTGCATAAAATATTGCAGAGAACGTGTGGTCACGGGTGAGCCAAAAGTTAAAAATGATAAGAATGGTCTAACGGCAACTGGACCCAGAAAGGAGGTGAAACGGCCAACGTTTTGTGCGTGGGATGCGGAGACCTCTAAGTTGGCGATTGGTCCTTGGACTTATGCAGAACATCGAGAAGCAGTTTGACATAACGCCTCTCGAAGACCATCCAGAAGAAACATGTAGAATCTTTCTAGAGTAGCTGCAGAATATTATAGACTTGGATGGGTTGAAGCTGAAATATGAAATTGCATATTTGTCTAATGGTGTTTGCAACCCACTTAAGATCTTTGATCGATTTGATGCTTTGAAACATAGGTCAAGCTTGTCTGGCCACTTGCTTTGAGAAATTGTTATGCTGAAAATTGCACTCAACATGGTGATTAAATAGAGGGTGGACACGAGGAAGATGAACAGTTCCAAATGGGTAGAAAATCATCCATGAGGATTTTTGGTTTTAATTTTTTTTTTGGTCTGTAATCTGTGATCTTCAAGTGCATGTAAAAGGCAAATACTCTGTGTATAGACCGATAATGGGGATTAAAGCTCTCGTGGTCTTTGTCGATTGGGAAAATAACACAAATGGTCCATGAATTTTGATTCAATATATAATGTCATCTCTGAACTTTAAATTTTTTTAATGTGATCCCTGAACCTTGATCCAATGTGCAATGTCATCCTTAAACATTTAATTTATTCAATGTGATATTTGAACTTTGGTCTATTGTTCAATGTAGTCCCTAAACTTTGCAACATTTTTATAAGTCTTGGGACTTCACTGAACATTTACCAACAGTTTATGGATCGCATTGAACAAACAAGATTTTAGAGATAACATCACACATTAGGCCAAAGTTTATGGACCACATTGTACAAAATTAAAAATTTAGGAAGCACATTGGATCAAAATCCAGAAACCATTTATGCTATTATCCCCTGTCGATTTGCACATCATAAGCAAAGAGGCCTCCTAGGCTTGGCCTTGGGAGCTCGGTTGAACTGGGAGCGGTGTGTGGCGGCCCAATTGTCATCGTAACCCTCCGACGACCGGCTAAACTGTGCCATGGGCCTGAAGTCCACCATATGGGCCCTGCCGCTTTCGCTTGGGGCATTCATCTCTTTGATGTCAAATCCCTTGATGGACTTCTTGACTTATGGGCCTCGCTAGATGGGCTAAGACCCAATAAAAAGGCGAAAGTTATGGCCTCATCAATGAACGAAGTGGAGAACGATGGCGCATGAACTTGTATCGTTCGGCTATTTTGCCTATCTTCACAACCTATAATGCCCCGAACTTAAAATCCCAACTCGAGCACGTTTCCCAACCACACTAGTCCACTAAATTTAAACCCAAAAAATTACAAAGATCATTCTAATGCAGCGAGACCCAAAACTAATTTCATTAAGAAAAATATACACTCCGAAACTACCCAAGTTTCGGAAAAGAAAACGTGCTTACGTTGCCCGATTCTCTGATACCTTATTACCTTGAACTCCCCAATTCCAAAATTCAACGATTTGCAAAACGGTGAGCGGGTCAAGCCTCATTGCTGAGTGAGCGGCTGATTAGCTCAACAAATAACTCAATACCTTTGTTAGTGGATCGGATACGTTAGAAAACACGTACAACCAATGTGGCGTCTAAAAAGTTGGTCACGAATATGTCGGGAAAGTTGTCCCAAAAATCATAAACTTATTGCACTGCATTTTTGCTAATTCAGTTTTAAACTTTTCAATTTTACCAATTGAGTCTTAAACATTTTTACGTTTTGTGAATTGAGTCCATTTGGTCAATTTTAACTGGAAATCGTTGATGTAGACGCCGGCCGTCCTATGGCCGGCACGGTCGGCGCTGATATGGGTAATTTTTAATAATACTTTAATATTGTTTCGAAATTTTTAATTATTTTTTAAAATTTTTTCTTCTTTTTTCTTTCCTTCTTTTCCTTCTTCCAAGTCCAGCGAGGGCAGGCCGACCCTTGTCGGCCATTGGGAGGCCCTTGCAGGCCACAGGCAGGGGCTTCATAGCCCTTTCCTGTGATCGGTGATGGTTGGCCAGTGACCCTCGCCGGACTTGATAAAAGAAAAAGAAAAATAAAGAAAGAAAAAATATTAAAAGAATTTGAAAAATATTAAAATATTATTAAAAATTGTCTATGTTAGCAATGATAATTTTACGTGACACTATTGGTGTCCACGTCAGCGATTTCCAGTTAAAATTGGACGAATGGACTCAATTGGTAAAACGTGAAAAGCTTTAGGACTTAATTGGCAAGATCGAAATGTTTAGAACTGAATTGACAAAAGTGCAATATGTTTAGGATTTTTTGGACAATTTTCTCCGCATATGCCTACCATCATTTCATTAAAAGTTAGTCGCAGTACTATTTAAGTACATCAATTACAAAGAAATGGAAGTTTACTTTATTGGATGATTGAAATTACGTAGGTTGGACCGCTATTGAGCTACAACAGTGGATCGCGGACAGAGCGAGTGAGAACGAGTCATTTTCACTTGTTGAACATGGATGTCTCAATCTTTGGGAAGATAACAATTGACTCGAATTATCCCTTCGCGGCCATGTCCATCTCCACAACTCAATTGGGAAGTTATGACTTACGAGTCATCATCTTGAGTGTTGAAAGAAGAGCCCCATCAGTTGGAACATTATCTCAACTCTCAATGGCAAGAATCGATTGTAGACACTGAAAACTGTTGACCTTTAATTCCCTGTCTTTCCTAGCAAGGAAAGTGATGAGAAATTAAAGAACATCCTCAAGTACTTCCATGGAATTCTAAATCTTCAACATACCTCGGTGAGCTTTGACCTCGTTGCCACTGTTCTTTGGTGTATATGGAAAGAAAGGAATGGCTTCATCTTCCGCAAGAAAGTTCCTGATCCAGAGTGGCTTGTTAGTTCTGCCATGGCCGATTACCAGAGCTTTGCTCAGTGGGCCAAAATCAAGAACAAATCACTAGCAAACCAAGATAGGTTACCTCAGATTTGGAAAAAACCCCGCAACGGAACCCTTAAATTCAACGTGGATGCTTCCTTAGTTGAAGGATCGACGACTGGGGCCATCAGCTGTGTTGGGCCGAACTGCCATGGACAGTTAATTGATGGTTTCGCGATGGAGGTGAGGTCGAGCTCGGCCGCACAGACGGAGGCTCTGGCGTTGGTTGAAACGCTAAGATTTTTTAGCAAGACAAGCACGAGTGAGAGTCTTCTAGTTGAGTCAGACAGCTTAACTCTTGTGAAGACACTTCAAAGAGCAGATCACTTCACGTGGGAAGCACACGTACTTATCACCGAGGGAAATTACGGGCTTTCCGAATTTGAGATTGGCCCACTGCAACAAAGAGTCTAAGGCCCGTTTGGTTCTGCTTTCGACTTGGCATTGGCCAAATGCAATGCCGAACCCAAATTTTTTATCCCCAAACTACCCTTACTTATTTTGACTTATTCTAGTTTTGCCCCTCTTGGTATTGTTCATCTTCTTTGTGAGGCGGCCGGCGAGGGTGGCCGACACCGGATCGGGCCGGCAAGGTCGCATGACCCAGGCGACGGCCGCCTGAGGTCGCGCGACCCAAGCGCCGGCTGCCTGGGTCGCACCGAGGGTCACCTGGCCTCGGGCGATGACCGCCGGTGGCAGATCTAGCTCGCCGGGGGTCGCCTGACCTCGGGCGACGGCCGCCGGTGCCGGATCTAGCTTGCCGGCGGCCGTAGACCTTCGTCGGCTCCGGCGAAGGGTAGGGTAGGCTTTTTTTTTTAAATAAAAAAGATAATTCCTAAAGCTCTTTTGCAAATTTTTTTTTACCAAATACTACTTGAGCCAAAGTAGCTTTATAAATGATTTTTTACCAAACACCACTTGCATTTCCCCAATGGACTTTAACTTAAAGGTATTTGCATTTCTCTAAGTAGCATTTGGAAAGTTGAACCAAACGGTCCCTAACAAGGTAGCGAATTGAATTGCTAAAGCCTAAAGGAATAAATCCCTATCTCATAAGTGGCTATCTAGCCCCCCTGAAGCCCTATGGGCCTTACTTGTTTCTGAATCAAGTCTTTTGTACTCGAACTCCTTTAGTTAGCTAATGAATTACGGTTATTTTGACCCAAAAAAAAAAAAAGAGGACTTCCATGGCAGCTTCTGGGCTTTTCAGCTTTTTGTCAAAGTCTTGTGGTGACTGAAAAAGCAACTTCGAGCGTGGTCTGGTTCTGGTTCAATAATGTGATGCGTTAACGGTTTTGGGCGTATGCAGAACTACGGAAAAAGGGCAAAGTTAGGACCACTTGTATGAACCAAATTTCTCCAGCGCGTAATAAACCTAATCATTCCAATAGGCCACCTTTTAAAGCATCCTGATTTTCAGTAGCAACTGCAGTCAATTTTCTAACTGGGTTTAACATGTCTTGCGGTGTCATGCATTGAAGTTCTCTCGCCGCATTCGCGGTTCAAGTCTGCTCTGATATTCGGATCATGCTACTAAGTGGAAATTGGATATCGGGTGTAGTTCGTGCTCATTTCGTGCATGAATAAAAGATGAAATTTGTCAACGTCATGGGGTTGGTAAACAGGTCATCAACACTGTTCAAGTGACCCGTGCCATCGGGAAGCTTATGGCTCGCGATTTCGGGACCACTGAGGATACCTGAAGCCTCACCAGATTGCAAATGCCTTTTTCAGCAGCAATAGCTGTCCTCGAATGCGAGAGTTCATAGAAAATTTCCCAAATGTCTTATCTTATCCCCCTTTTCAATGCATGCTCATTTACAAACACTGCCATAAAAAGGAAAGTGTCATTACCATTCAAATCTAATGTTCTTTAAGGCCCACAACTTCCCATTACATCCTCTGGTTTGATTTTGTGGTTTGTTGTCATTCCATTGAACTGAAAGTGATGAACACTAGAGCTGCTAAATAAAGTCAATTGTCATTCCCTGAAATTGACAATTCATCACTGATTAAAGAGGTTGACATCTTCTTTGAATGCATGCTTGCTATTACGCTACGACAAACTAACATGTAGATGCAATGTACTCCTGCAGTTTTCATCTTAAGTCCCTTCAGGATTAATCGGATTATAGTGCGCGTGTGACTGGGGTCTTCTAGTATGCTAAACCGGGACACCCAATTACAAAATAAAAGTAGGAAATAGAGAAACAGACATAAAAGCCTTCATTTATCCCAGAATTAACACGGTGTCTTCAAGTCATTGCCTTTCAATAGTCAAGCATGCTCAGAACATCAATCCCGGAATCATTGATTATTTACATTTCCTCCCATGATCCATTTACAAGAAGCACAATCTGGCTGAAGAAATAGTTCCCAAGATTTATGAGAACCATTTGTAATTTTAACTGCAATATACATTATTAATACAGATTGCGCAAAGAACCTATATTGAAGCTAGCACATTGGAAAAACCGAAACTTATTGTGTGTATAGAAGGTACCTAAAAGTGAAATCATAGGGAACAACCTGAACAAACTTCGAACGAGCATTGCTTTTTCCCATCTCAAGAAACTTGATTGCTTGTTTTCCTAGTTCACTGGGTAACTGAAGACAAATCCAATCAAGCAAGGAGTCCAAGTCCTTGGCAAAGTCGAGCAGATACCAGTCCAGCAGCTTTGGTATCACAAATTTCTCGGCAGAAATTCCAACTGCAGCCTGCAAATAGTCTCTTTTTGCTGCTTCAAGTTCATTCTCTACATTCGATGCCGTGTAGACTCGCACCTTCATTTGGAAAAAGGTCATAATAAGTAAGAACATAAACAAGCATAAGATGCAGATGCCTCAAGGTGAGAAGAGATGCTTCTACTGTAGAAATGTGCACGTAACAATCAAAAGCACAATGCTTGCGTGGAACAAGAGAACCAAGAAAAAATGCGAGAAAATGTGAAAAAAAAATTGTGATTATTGGCCCATAGATCAACAAGTAGCCCAGAAAAATCCGGAGCCAAAAAATAACACTGGTTGGAAGTTTTCTCAACCTTATTGGGTATTTGCCTTGTGAAGTCCCACGACCAAAATATTAAGAGCTCTCAGGGCGAGTTGTCTCTGAAACCATGTAATTTTAATGATGGATGCAGGACTAAAGCAGGTAAAAATGGTGGCTCTATTCCATGCATTAAACTTACAGCAGGGGACGACCAACTTCCACAGGAAAGTGCGAAAGTCACCAACGGTTCAGATAACTCCAATCCAAAGATTCTTCTCGCTGTCAACTCAACGTTTTTTGTACCCTTTGTGGAGGTCTGAAATCAAGACCAGGAAGCTTATTCAGTACAATTCAAAACCAAAATCATGGCCTTCATGAAGGTAAAATGGATGTGACTCACATATTTTAAATGATAAGGAAGTCTGAGGATGAAGTGCTCAATCGTTATGCCGGTAAGAAGGTGTCCTCCAACATTTATTGTTGCCTAGACAAAAATTTGGAAAACTGCATGTAAGTCACTGGCTTCTTGGCTCAAAGATCCACATAAGCTATTACTTAATTCACAGGCGAAATCTATCGAAACAGAAATAGATAAATCAACATCTTTACATGATTAATGGATTTTATCGGCACTTCATTGCTCATGGAAGGATTCTAAAGGTCATACCTGCTGCATCAATGCAACAACCACGTGGGGACTCTCTTGTATTCCATGTTCTAGGAAGGCCTGGAAGAATTCAACAATGTCGATGGTCATATGAGAGACTTCATGCCAAATAATTTATGATTATCATTAAACTTAAGTTTGATGAGAAGCGAAAAACAAAGACAGTGTAATAATTGCCATGAATACGCTCACATACTTTCATCATGCAGGAATTATAAATGTTAATCCAGAATGCAAGCTTCTCCTGGTGAGTGAGATTCTCCAACTTGACACGCCCAAGTTTTCCGAGGAGCACTCTGGAAAATCAGAAGACACAAATCTACTATTACATCGACAAATGTCTGTCAAAAAGATGAGAAATAAATCGACTTCAATAAGTGGTGACTCACTTCAATCTTTGCTCTAAAAATACGCAGTTCGTCGTTCTGTTTGGATTGATTGAGCCAGCATGAATTGAATAAAGATGCTTATATGGGCCAATATCTCTCTTTCCATACTCTGAATGCACGCCATAGGGATCAAGGAACTCCATTTCTGCACTGCCCTCCTCAGACATAATCGTAGACAAGAATGGTGAATTTTCAGATGTAACCCTGCTCTTCTTTGAGCTCTTTCTCAAGAATATGCTCAATAGGCACTTCAAAACATTCTCGGAGATTTTGTTCGGGTTTTCATCACCTCGCCCTCCATCATCAGAAACTGTTCGGTTCCTTGCTTTTGCATTTTCTAGGTCTGTCACTCTACTCTCAAGCTGGACATTGAGAAACTCCATATTCAATGATCCACAGAACATAAATAACGAAAACAAGGCAATCGCAGTTGAGCATAGTAATGATAAGAAGTAAAACACTAGACCTGTGATTTCTGAGTTTCCAAATACTTCTCCGCGGAGACATTATCTACAGGGCGTCCCTTTATAGCAACTTTGGCTCCACGGCTTTTATGTGTGGTAGATCCCTTCTTGTCAATTGTAGAATTAGTGCATGCTTGCTTATCTTCCCCACATGCATCCGCTGAAAAGCAACAGAGATGAATGAATGACACTCTAAGTTCCAGCAAGCCATTCTTGTAGAGAGGCGAAGTTAATTTGGGAATCCAAGCGCACCAGGGCGAGACAACAAGTGCCTGGTTCGAGATGGCGTCGAGCCACTGGCAATTTGAGCTTCGACTCTGGACTGTTCATGTCTAAAATTCTTAACTGGGTTTGGTCTATGAAAATCAGATGAACTGTCAACAATCTTCCTCTTGGATGATGAAATGTACACAGCTTCCTGATATAAGCCCTGCCTGAAATGTACCACCTGTTCTTCCAGCCGCAAAACCTCCTCTTCCAATACAGCAACCTCGGCCAGAAGTTCTAGAGTCTAAATTTCAGAAACCAACACACAGTTCATTCATCACATTAGTTAAACAGTCACATTCAAATAAAAATCCACCAAACATGTGACATTAACTAACATATGTTGGGAGATAAGGGGGAAGACGAGGCAGAGTTCCTAAAGGTCTGGTAAAAGCTCTCTCAAGAGCCTTGTGAACGTTCTCTTCATGTCTAAGCTTCTTCTTCAACTTATCCACCTGGAAAATAAAAGTTTCACAAAATTGGTGATTTTTCTTTTGAAGGACTAGAGTCATCAAACAAGAAATTTTGCAAAAAAAAGCTCAGTACTAGATGCATACATCTTGCTGCAGCGCCAATTTTCTCTCTCTGCTCGATTTTTGCTGACTAGCAGTTGGCTTCGTCGCATCCACAGATTTGGTTGCCAACATTTCCACCCTCTGTTATCCAATAATTAAAGAAACGATGAGCTTCTTCAAATGACAAAATGATAAACTAATAGCAGAAGTAGGAAAAGCTAGCAATTGACAAAGATTCAGACATTATCAGAGAGCATTAAGGAAATGGGTCACCTCCAAATTTTAAATGCCTGGGATTGCATACATCAGCTAAGCAAAAGGAAGAGAGAAAAGTCGAAACTTTCTCGGGAAAATTTGGAATTTGGCAGCAGATTCACACAGCAAGTAAGGAGTGAAAAGGGGACGAACGGATGAAGATGACAAGGGAAAATTAAAAACCATTTTTCTCAATTACAACGTATACAAAGTCAATCCCCGATCCTCATGAAAATGAATGCATTCACAAGCGATTCAGGTTCTCGAGCCTCGTCATCAGAGACTGTAAGTCCATCTTTCCAGGGTAAAAAGCGAGAAAATTTATGCTGATATAGTTGAAAAGCTAAGAACTTTTGCTAGTTGCCACTGTACAGGCCCCATTTCAAATTCCCCACTGTAAAGAAACATCATTACAATATCGAAATCAATTGGCGAAGGGAAACGGGGAATAAAACTTTCGTAAAAACTGCGAGCTTTTACTTCATCATGCTTCGCCGGAGCTCTCGTTGACCGCTGCAGCCTAGTCCCTCCTCCTCTGACATTCATCGTCATGCCCTTCGCAACCTGCACTCTGACGACGAGAACACACCATTCATTCAGTCAGTTCACCTCAATTCATTCCACGACGGCAAAAACTTCTGCTTTTCCCCGTCTCCGTGTCGACATTGCAACGACCAAGACCGTACCTTGGAGAACAAATCCCATCCAAAACAGAGCAGAGCTTGGGAGTTCCGGCAACAAGAAACAGAGGGGGGTGTCTGAAAGTCAAATGGGAGAAGCACGATGAGGAAGACTCTACGTGAATACGTAGGTGGGCAGAGGATGACGATGATGATGGGGAGAGATTGTGGGGGCTTTTCGCCGTGTCTTCATATGCTCCGCTTGACTGGAAAGATTTATCCCAATCCAGAGAGAGAAAGCTCTGTTTCTTGGCGGCAGGTTGGGAAGTAAAAATCGTTTCCCTTGTAAAACGAAGACGAAAAGGAGAGTAAAAAATCCAGCCACTTTTTACCCTTTTGGGGAAATGCCAAGATACTGATTGAGCATGCTCATTAAGAAAAGATTTAGTTTTTAAAAATGTCAGGTTATGTTTAACGTAAAAAAGTTAGTGCCGATGGTGTTGTTTTATATTTACAAACTCCGGTCGATAATAATTATTAGAAGATATGTTGCCTAGTTTGATTTGCATAATCGGCTTACTATTTACTGTCGCGTGTCCCACTAGTTAAGAGGGATGAAAACATACAATGTAAATGAACTCGGGAAAAATCAAATCAGGAGCGAATTTATATTCCTTTCATTTTGTTATGCATTATGGGGTTGAATAGGTTGCAAAAATTTATTAGAATACGCATTTTAAATTGGACATTGTAACATAAAGTTTCCAGCTCAATCTAATTGGCAATTGATATGGAAATAATGCCTTTCGGGCCTAGATTTTCAGCCGGTGGTCAGTCGATCATATGGCGCCATTTTTTTGATGTGTTTTGCGATATGATTGCCCTTTTTATGTCGAAATCTTTTGATTGGACCATAAGAAACTTGCACATGCAAGGCATAATTACCGGCTCATTTGTATTCTTGGGAAAAATTAACCATTTGTTTAATGGTGGGTTGACCATGGGGGAGAGTCAAGAGTCTCTATCATTATATAAAATGAATTTGCTCTCAGAATCAGATCACATTGTCTCGTTGCAGACGATGAATTGGGAAGTGAGGGAGAAAAGGACAACAAGAACAAAAAATAAAAAATAAAAACATCTTGGGCTGTGTCCGAAGGTAAAAGCTTCCAAAATCACATGATTGCCAACTAAACATATGTAATTGGAAAATCTCAATTCATCCCATTTCTCTTTTGGGTTCTAGCGGACACTAATCATCAGAATTGGTATTAGAATGATAGTATAGACTAACGGGTGTTCTCGAGATAGTTTGTTAAGCATGATAGTATAGACTAACGGGTGTTCTCGAGACAGTTTGTTAAGCATGTTTAATGAATTTCAAAATATTAATCGTAAATAACACAACAAAAGTAAGTACCCCATTTTCAATATTGTTTGAATTTTTGCGGGTTGCTTTGTGCTGCTTGCCCGTAAACACGAAAAATTCTTCCTTTAGTGCAAATTTTACTTGCCCGTCCCACTGTTCCATTGCCTTACTGGGTTGGATGGTTTTGGCTACGGCCTAACTAAATGGTAACACAGAATTAGGCAATGTCGCTGTGTGAGTCAACAACTACCTCTCCTTGACCGTCATGAATCTGGGAAGAATAAGTACGGTTAGAAAATGGCATTCAATTCATGGGACGATGCTAACTCCGAGCATGATCGCAGTACACAGGCCACACGAAATGGAAATCTTCGCTAGAGCGGAAGCGTTCGTGGAGGAGCAGGCGTTTTGATCCTGCTGCCACTTCTGCAACGTGCATTAATGGAAGATCTTTACTGCTAGAGAGAGAGAGAGAGAGAGAGAGAGGGTATTGTAATGTAATTGTCAATGGAGCAATGTGATGTGAAAGGGAATGGCACGCACACATGGAGGTGGGAGGTGAAAACAAGGGCAGTCATGATGATGTTTGCGACAGGAAACGGTGGGTGCGCAAAATGTTCTAATTTTCTGATTTTTCTGTTGTTTATTTCCTTCTTTTATCGATCTTGTTTTGGAGTTTTTTTACCACCAAAAGATTTATTAACAGACAGATTAGTATAATCAAGGAATTTGGGACTTTTTTGTCCTGACCCACATTTTTTAAATTAAGGACAGATTGGTTGGAACGTTAGAGGGAAAGGCCACGTGATGGGGCCACCTTTTTAGCACTAGTTGAGATCATATTATAGAGAAAATACACATGAGTAGGTTCTCTGAAAAAAAATAATGCTTCTTGTCAACTATTAATGCAGGGATTAATTGCCCTTAATTTCTCGTTTCCTTACTAGCAGGCGACAGATGGCAAAATCCCGAATTGGCCAACTGTTGTAATCACGCAGGGTGTGCACATACAATTGAAAGTTTCAATTCAATTGCAAAATTTTGTAATGAGGGTATATGATCATTCATTTGATAATGTTCGTTCATAGGAAAGAAAGAGAAGAAAAAATGAGAATGGTCATAAGATCATGTGCATCGGAGTTAGCCTTTTTAACTGTTAGGTCAAGCACATCAAGTTCAATGATTAAGCTCAACTAAAACGTGCATGACTTGTAATAGTGCATGCTTTGTCCGATTCAAGAGATAATATAGATAGAGTTTTGCTTGAGAAGTGGATGGTAAAGTATAATGAGTTTTACCCCAAGGGGGTTGGTTCCGCTAGCTAAGGGATGGGCTCGGACGTGAGACTTCGCGTCGCGAATTCGATCCCCTCTGTCCAAGGAGTACTACCAATTCCTTGCCGACCATCCACTCGGGCGAAACCGTGACTTGATTGGACATGGGCTAGTCAAGATTTTCTGATCTTGGGAATTCAGTTGGAAAAAATCGGGATCACTCCATTGTAGAAAAGAAAAATCCAAGAGATAGATCCTAAATCGTACATCAACCACAGAGAGGAGAAGGATAAATACCATTGAGGACATGTGTTAGGTTTTTTTGTGATGCGACAAGAAATTAAAAGTAAATGCATTCAAGTGTTATAAGTTTAGGATTTTTCATGCACTACACATTTTATTTACTCGTTTGAGTCTGGCCTTGCTGTTCCACTACAAAACAAGACACTTGGTCCCACCTGCACCATTTTTTTCCTGTTTTTCCCTGGTTGTATTCCAACGTTACCTTCTATATACCACAACATCTCTTGGAGATGTAATTCCAGAATAGAATAAAGTCACAAAAAGACAACATCAAGTCAGTATCATTAGTTGAGGAGTCAATTGCTTAGTTGTTGCTCAGTTGATTCTCTTCTCCATGGTTTTGTTCTTTCCAAGAGAAACCAAACATCAGATGCTCCGGTTATCATATTTCGCCCATAGTCACCCACCTAGCTTGCCTCTTTTGACTCAATACAGACGAATATCATAAGACATATGAGACGCTCGCAGAACTACTGATGCATGCAAATTACTTAGCTTAGGCCCTTCTTAAGTCTTAACAATACTTTAACATGGCTGGAACTTGGACCATGGGTCCAGCTTTTCTCTTGTCTGGTCTCAAATTAGTAAAATAATCAAAAATTTTCAGAGAAAGGCTGGTGATGGTGCACTGGATTGCACATAGTGTTGTGGCCCACAGGTCAGCTTCTTTGGCCAAAAGAAAAAAGACAGAGAAACATTTTACCCAATTGCGTACCTTCGGCTAGATTCTTGTAATGTGCACGAATATTAGCTTTTGAATCTTTTTCAACTGTTGTTGGGGACGTGAAAAAGCGAAAGCATGATTGTGAAATGTTGTCAATAAGATCATGCATGGCACTGAAGCTCTCTACTGCTGCTTGGCACTGTTCCTGTTCCTAGTCCTCCTTTTCCCTTCTCCACCCTAATTAGTCAAACTCATCACAATCCCTCCCACCGCTTGAGAATCTAATTTTCCATATGGTTTTTAGCAATGTCGGTGAGCGAATATTTGGTGCGTAGATGACAACCTCCTTGCATGATTGATCTTGAAATAAAAGGCCTCTAGCTCTAGTCAGATCAAAAGCTCATGCAAAGCATTGTACTCACAACCGAACTCTCTATGGTTTTGGGCTTCCCCTAGCTACTATATCTAGTCAATTCGTAAATTATGTACCATATAATGAAGGCCACCATCTCCACCATTGAGCGTCGGTCTCATATTGTCTCTTAGGATGCGTTTGTTTCACTGAAAATTTCGTGATGAAGCAAAATGGTTTACAATGAAAATCATTTTCAAGGAAAATAACTAGTTCTCATTTGTTTGGTGGTATAGAGAAAGTGATTTCCTTCTTACCAGAACGGGAAATCGTTTTCCCTCAATTTAAGCTTTTTGTTTTCAATCCAAGGAAAACGTTTTCCGTAGATCAATTAATTTTCTGTCATCCAAACACTGGATCAAAAACAGTTTTCCTTCAAACAAACGGACCCTTATTGTCATTTGAGTTGATTTCTTAACTTAGTGTTCCACTTCCCTCATGTAATTAGTTAGACACTGGTTCCATTCTAGCAAAATCATATGAGCACTTTCCAGGTTTTGAAAACTTGCGATACCTTTACCACATATGTTAGATCCCTCTTGGTAAGTGTATTAGAAGTCTTAAAATTTGTCATGAAAGTGTAATTGAGTCCTAAAACTTTCAAAAAGTGCAATCAAGTCTTAAAACTTGTCAAATCGATCCAATTAAGTTCTCCCGTTAATTGCATGTTTTGAAAGCTCTATGACTCGATTGTACTTTCGAGATAAGTTTTAGGACTTAATTGTACTTGTTAAAAGTTTTAGGACTCTATTGTACTTTTGTGACAAGTTTTAGACTTCCAATGTCCTTATCCCTAGAGTTTATATTATGGTTTAGTTGGACCCAAATGACTAATGACATCTTCTCTTGGCCGTAGAGATTCCTTTTTTTTCTTGGCCTTAGAGATTACAAGGTAGGTTTTGGAGTGGTTTCTTGATCACAGATTGACTTGTGCGGTATGCCATGGTCATAATCGAAAAGGGGAATTAGCTCGAAAGATTGACTTAAATAGATTTGATAGAAGGTGTTAGAGTAATCTGCAGATTCTAACTTACCCCTAAACTTACTGGCATGAAGTCACGGAGAGAGAAATGAAGCGAATGTCAACAATAACATTCCATTTCTACACTGTGATTCAAATGGAATCGATTGTGGCAGCGTGTGGAAATTTGGAGTACAAGAACCGAGGTCAGGGGGTTAGCTCAGGCTTGATAGCCAGGTGGTCCTAAAATGCTTTCATGCCCATCTTCCCATGGGTTTCTGGAGTCTCACTTTAAGTACACAGTCAGGCCATTATAGAAACTGCAAAA